ACTTAATTAGACCAACTATGCAAATGAAAGCCTGCATGGGACAAATAAAGCAGAGGGCAGGCCCTTCAGGAATTGATCCTATGAACCCTGGGCTCGTCGTGTCCACAAGGGGAGGGGTGAAATGTGCAGAGAGCGAAGATTAGGCCTGTCAAGGAACAAAAAAAGAAACTGCAAAACCAGCCCGTTGCGCAGAATCTCAAGTGGATTGCATCTGCCTCCCTCCGACTTTATCGACTTAAGAGAGTAGAGATGTTTTTTTAACTAGTTAGCCCAGGTATTTCAGTTTCAAAGTCTATCTGCACCCAGACTGGCCCTCCGGGATGGCCAGCACCAAGCTTGTGCACTGGGTTCCTGCTCCTTAACATCAACACTTGACAAAGAGCTGGAAAGCACTCCACGAGCAGTGGAGGCGTGTTCAGCTTTTAGTGTCTGGAACAGAATCTAGCAGGACCTGGTCATGCTGACTAGTTGGCTCAGAACCTTCCCGTCAAACAAAACTAAACTAGGGACTAGCAAGCAGCCCACCTAATAAAACTTTTTACCTCCTTGAATATTTTTCCCAGCACAGGAGGAGGAGATCGGGAATTCTGGGGAGGGTGCCGAGGGACAGTTCTAACCTCACGATTTAGGCTTAAGACTATGCTCCTCTGAGAAATTCTAAAATCTCAGTTGTTCTCTTTGACAAAGTTTCCACTGGTCTCTACGATACGCTACTTACACTATTGCTAACAAGCCTGTGCCTTAAACCCAATCGTCAGATTGGGAATAAGGAATTTATGCCTGATTTTGGCCTTGCCCCACCTGGAGGCAGTGGACAGAAACTGGTTCAAAATCTGACCAAATAAAGCAAGTTATGACCCAAACACCACTAACAGATCACACCTGGCATTTAAAAAACGTGGATATCAGCAGCCAACATTTTTTTTCTTAGAAACATTTTAAGAGAAAAAGAAATCAAGTAAATTCAATTCAGTTCAATAAAATTGTTTCATATTAAAACATATTTAAGCCAATGTGGGGTGGACGCATTTCTGAACTGCTATTTTCTTACAACGTGACAAAACCCGATATTCATCCGAGATCAAGGCCTACAATTGGAAGTGTTTATTCCTCACAAAAAAAAATATGATGCACACGACACAGTATGTAGAAGCTCTTTCCAGTTACGAAAGACTCATTCCCACCTGTAGTTAAATACTGATTCCAAAATTGGTTCTATTATAAACTGACAGGCCTGTATTAATATAGACCTAATTAAAAGGTACCGTAAGAGAACTAGACCAAAAAAAAAATACTCCCGCCTTCCTACTCTGCGTTTTAGTGTGATGTGGTTTTGTCAGTTGGTGCAACCGTTACTTTTCCCAAAAACATACGACAGTTCTCGCAAAAACTGCGTCCTGGCAGCTGAGAGGAATAAACTGGAAGAGTGTACCCTTCCTTGTTTCTCCTGTTTCATCCTACACTTCACCTCTTTTAATATCCGAAAGGAAAAGCTGCATTCGGAAAAGGGATGAGATTTTTTCGGAAGAAGGAGAATGTGCACACGCCCCACGAGTTGGGGAGGTGACGATGATGATGATGAGGACGAGGACGACAGCATCACCCAGTAATGGCTTCTGGCTAATCCCGGCACAGGACACCCCAGAAGGAGCACGTCTCCAGCCCCCACCAGCCTGCCTCCCCAGGGCGGCTCGAACCCACAGCATCCAGGCCCTCACAATCACCTCGCCAGGGCCAACTGCTCAGTGCAGTACAAATAATGGCACTTGGGCCGTGTGGCTGGCGGTGAGTCATCAAGATTGCATCGAAACCCCGTTTTTGGATGCCATCTGTTGTGACACAGCCAAGCTTAGTCACTCTTCCTTTGGGATCTGAGCTCACAAGAGTAATAACTGTGAGAGTCGGGCATTTTAACGATTCACGGATAAAGAGCTTTCTAAACAAAAACACCTTTTATTTAAAAAAAAAAACCCACAAAGTGCGTATACTTAAGATTCCTTTCTGGACACCTGCCCAATCTCTAAAGCCCTCTTTCAAGTACACATTCAACATGGTGTCGCATTAGGCTCTGACTCAGCAGAGCACAATAGCTCAGCATTGTTGTTTACAGAAAAGGCTGCTGTATTTAAATGCCTCTTGATAGTTTCCCTGCTACACAGCTTACAGAGCAGAACACCGGTAAGAGAAATGTTATGTGCTGACGTCATACAGAACGTTCTGATTAAGCATTTGAGATTCCAGTAATATCTGTTTCTGGACGGATACTTCTTGGTGGGTGGTTTGGAGACAAATGTTTACCGTGTATCTCTCTCGCTTTCAAGAATCGTCCTGTAAGGAGGATATTACCCCACTGGGGGGGGGGTTCTCCAGCAATGCTTTAATTGTAAAATCACATGCAATAAAAAAAAAGAATATCATAGGAAGGGAATTTGACCAGGATCAGGGGATTTCCAGCACTGGTGAATATATCCTCTTTTTCTTTTTTTTGTTCTTCAGACATTTGGGAGTTTTTGCTTTTTTGAACAACAACAAATAAAAAAAAAAAAAAGAGAAACCACCAAAACCTGAAAGGGCAACGGGGAATCGAAACGCCACAAATGTAAAATGTAAAATGAATGTGGGAGCAGGGACTTAAAAAAAACCAAACCAAAACCAACAGCAACAGGTTGGCCAATGCCTGCTTCACACGTACTAAAATCTGCGCTGTCCGACGTCCAGCGGCCATCTCCTTAAGCCTTGGGCGTCGGTGGAACAGCAGGGAACCGGCACTTTCGACAGCTGGTTTATATCCCCGCCGACTCCGACGCAAGGCACAGAACTCGGCTGACCCGCGGACCCCTCGCCACGTGACGTCAGCCAGCGCGGATCATTCGGGCGCAGACATGGGGCTCGTCAGGCGCAGGACACGCATGCTGGGCGCAACGGTACGAGCACTCTACAACAGCAAGGAAGGGATCAGTGGGGTCCGGCGCGGCCCCTCGTCCACATGTCGTTTGTTAAATACGCAAGCGTTTGTGTTAATCCTTCGTTGTCTGAACCCTATTTAAGAACCGGTTGCGGTGACGCACTGGAAGGCCCATTTTACTATTATAAATTGTACATATACACCCCTACGTGCACTCCTCAACACAGAGAGGCGTCTGAAATGTCACAAACGAGGGTGGGACGCAATAGCATTTGTTGCATTTTTAATGCCTCTTGGTATTTATTTAAGAAAAGTCCACCAACAAAGCCTTAAATTTGGGTACTCCTTGAAACTGCTCAAGACGGCAAGTGTCCGAGTCTCATCCAGTCGGATTAAATATTCCCATCAGTTTCCGAGTGCCTGGGGATCCCCCAGATTTCTGGGATGGAGTGCCTGGTGAAGCTCGGACTGCTGTTCCAGCGGTTGACGCTGTTGGTGTGGGACATACAACAGCACCTAAAGAGGACCATTCGCCTTCACTACGGAAATGAGCCACCCCAGCCTGCTCACCCAAACCTCCCCAGCTGATCGTGAGCACGGTCCTGTGCTGTAAACACTCCCTAGCACGGTCCTTTTTTTCCCCTAAACTTTAAAAATAAAGTAAGCCTCAAATAACGGGATAATGATAAAATAACGACCCTCAAGAGGGGGGATGGAGGAACAAAACTGGTCCCAAAACTCTTTTCTTTCTGCTTCATGAAGGCAGTGACCAGCCCCAGGCTTCAGGGCAGGCGAGAGAAGGGGTGTGTGGGTGTGTGCGTGTGTTGGGGGGGGCTCCTCTCCGCACCTGGCACAACTGCTGTCCTATAAGCGTTTCTTGGCGATGTAGGAGCCCACCACCAGCCCCGTAACCAGAGTCATGCCCGCCAGCAGCCACTTCTTGAAGCTCTCCTGTGATCTCCGGTACTCCGCAGCCGCATCCTTGCCAAAGATCTCCGCAAACCTGTCCTGAGAAAAGAAAAGGGGGAGAGAGTTATTTACTGGGGAAAAAGGAAATGTTCTAGACCCCCCACACTCCGGGCGGTTTCCCACAATGCTCCGACTGCCTCGGAAGACAAAGGCAATGGAAATGAGCAGCCAGCAGCCTCAGAGGTGAGTGATTAGAAACGGACAAATAATAATAATAATAATAAATAATTGCTTACACTTATATAGCGCTTTTCTGGACACTCCACTCAAAGTGCTTTACAGGTAATGGGGAATCCCACTACCACCACCAGTGTGCGGCCCCACCTGGATAATAAGACACCCAGACTCTTGCATCTGGGAAACAAAATAACCCAGGGCCAAGGATGTCAGTGGATACAAGCCCAGCGGTTCCCTCGAAATGCTCAAGATGCGTGCAGGTCACACACTCTGTATCCATTTGTTTAATGCTCATCAAACTTGTATCTCAGCACAAAACCTCCTCGAGTGAATCAGTGCTCCTTACAGGCAGTAAACAAGGTGTGACTTGAGCATCAGATGGGGCTTCTCTGGTCAGCCCCTCACCAGCTTTGGGTGGGTGTTTGTTCTCGTCGCAATTTCACAGCATTTGTGTGCGCACCATGCTGTAACATTTTCTTCTCTCGCCAGACTTTTTGCCGATCCTAACAGATACCCAGAGAGGAAAAGGCTT